TCCCCGGCAGAGGCCGGCCGGACCTCAGAACGCGGGAGCCCGCATCCATGCACGCCCCGCACCGCGCCCCTCGCCCCTCGCCCTGTGCTGAGCGTGCGCGAACTCCGCCCCCTTTAACCTTGCAGAGCGCGCCGCGCGATCCCATCTTACAGATGCGTAAACTGGAGGCCCGCGAAGACCTGAGACCGCCTCAGGGCCCATGGCGAGGGACGGAACCCAACCTCACGCCTCCAAGGCGTGCTCGGACTGCTGCCTCGGCCTCCCTCGTCCTCCCATAGGCACCGTGCAACTCGGAGTGCATGCCCAGGTCTGCACGCCTTAACGGCCTGCGATCCCAAGCATACCCCCGTCTTCCCTGCCCGGGTTTCACCCAGGTTTCAATCCCTGTACGGCTAAAATGGACGACACCCATTACGAGGTGTCAGACCAGTGGATGCTTGGGGAGTAGGTTTTGGCCCCCATAAGGGTTGGCAGGCGGGTAAGGAGGTTGCCCTGAGCCTCCCACACGGTCTCTCGGACCCCCCCCATCAAGGTGACCCCAAAGCCCCAGATCTGGTGGGCGTGGTTTCCTTCCTTCGCGGGTTGTCTCCAAGGTTTCTTGAGGCGCTGTGGATTTTCCAGTCTGGTACAGCTTTCTCGACCCATCCCACCTCCCGCGCAAGTAACTGACTACCCCAAACCCGGACCACAGCAAAGCAAGAGGCTGAGTCAGTTCTTTAGCTGCCCTAGGACTGGCGGCTGGCCTCAGAAAGGCCCCTGTCCTAGCAAGGCAGGGCTCCATCCTCTTCTTCCCTTAGTCCTTTTCGCTTTCTCTCCATCCCCCTTTCTGCTCCTCTTTTCTCTCCTCTTTCCCCTTTTCTTCCTCCTGTCCGCTTTCTCCATCCTCCGCCTCCTCTTTGACCTCTCCCCTGCCCTCCCCCCAACACACACCCGGCACCAAGTCAACTTCTCAGTCTCTGTCCTCTCTCCTTTTAGGGGTCCCCTCTCACCCAAAGCATGACTTCCTCCAGATCCAAGTGTGTGAGTGCCCCTGTATCCCCCAGGTGTCCCCCATGAAGCCAGGAGAGGAGCAGAGCTGCTCAGCGCTTCCCCTGGGGCATTCCCACCCTCTCCTCGCGAGAACCGCCCCCAGCTCCCCCCACACACCCCGTAAACACAGGCACCAGAGTGGGCTTGTGCATTCCTGGCCTTGTGGAGCATAGGGGTGATGGGCCACAGATCCAGCGGGCAGCCTGGCATGGCACTGGAGCACCTGTGCTAGGCAGTGGCATGGAAAGCTTGGATTGGTGACCCAGGGCAGGCCTCCCTACTTTCTGGACCTCTGCATCCCCACCTGGTCTGGTCTAACACTGGAAGACAAGATCCTCCCAGGTATGATGTCTGTGCTGCTGTAGGCTGGTCTCTGGTGGCGCAGAGAGATGCTGTGTACTCTTGGAAATTGTTGTCCCTCTCTGCGCTTTGGTTTCACCTCCTGGACAACTGCAGTCTTGGAGGTGTTCATGGTGTGAGTCCGTGCAAGGGACTTAGCCACCCCTGACACACCCTTGGCCACACAGAAGTCCTGAGATCAGAGTGGCCTGCCCCTCTCTTTTTCAGCCAGAGCCTGAGTCCCCGCTCTATCACCCATCCTTTGTGCATCCCAACACTCCTGGCTGAGCAGGGGCTGAGGGTTCTTCCTGCTCTGTAGTTGTTTGGGAGTGGGGAGGAGCTCAGGAGTCAGGTGGGGTAGCCAGGGGATCCAGACTCTGAGTCGGTTCAGAACAGGTGTACTGCAAAGAAGTGAGACATGCTGGGAGCACAGCACTGGCTGTGTGCAGGTGGGTGGCTGTCCTTAGCTGCCAGCAAGCCCTGCAACTGTCTGACCCATGGCTACTCACTATGTGCCAGGCTCTGGACTCACGAATTTTGTTTTTTGTTTTTTGTTTTGTAAAAGATCTCAGAATGGGCCAGGGTGCCAGGCGTGGTGGCACACACCTGTAATCCCAGCACTCAGGAGGCTGAGGCAGGAGGATCATTGTGAGTTCAAGGCCAGCCTGGGCTACAAAGTGAGCTCAAGGCCAGCCTGAACTGCAGAGCGAGACCCTGTCTCAAAAAAGACAACAAACAAACAAACAAACAAAAAGACAGAATGAGCCAGGGATATATAATTTAAAAATCAAGGCTGGGGATATAGCTCAGTGGCACAAGCTCCTGCCTGGCAAGTGTGAAGGCGTAAATTCGATTCCCAGTACCAAAAAAAAATCTCAGACTGGCTCTCTCTCTCTCTCTCTGCCCCTCTCAACAAAGTTTCATTATGTTGCTCAGTCTGGCCTTGAACTCCTGAGCTAAAGTTACTTTTCTGCCTCAGTCTCCCAGGTAGCTGGGACTACGCCACCATCCGCTGGCTCAGAAATAGTAAAGAACTTCTTGTAGCTGGTTGCATTTTTTCAAAGATAGGCACACTGATACATGTCTTATCCCAGTGGCTGTTCTTACAATGTGACATTGACTCCCCTCCAACTGAGGGACAAGGTCTGGGTTCCCTCCTCCTTGAACCTGTGCAGATCTCTGTGACTGTCCCAACCAATAAAACATGATGAAAATGATACTTGCAAATTTAGGGCATAAGCCAGTGTGGCTTCTACCCAGTCAGCAGCGTCCCTCTGTCTGTCTCTGTCTCTCTGTCTGTCTCTCTTTATCTCTTTCCCTCTCTCGCTGTGTCTCTCTGTCTTGGTTACTTTTTTCTCGCTGCTGGGACAAAATCCCTGACGCCCAAAATTAAGGAAGGAAAGGTTTATTTTGCTTACAGTTCGTGGAGGTTTCAGCCCGTACTTGGCAGATTACAAGGCAGAGTGGCACATGGCAGAGTGTTAGCTCCAGGAGGCAGAACACAGCTAAGCAACTACCAGGACACACACCAGGGCGGAAATGGCGGAGGAGGAATGGCCTCAAGCAGCCTTTTCCTCTCCCTTACATATGCAAACTATCCACTCCAGGGCGGGTGCAGCTCTCATACCCATATTCAAACTCTAAAAGCCTGCCCCATGTCCGCATGAGGCACTGGGGGGACACACAGACATAAACCATAACACTCTCTCTGTCTCTCTCTCCTTCCCTTCTTCCCTCTCTCTCTCTCCACTCACCCTGGGAATCCAGTCCCAACCGGAGGAATCCCAGGCCACGTGAAAGGTTCCATTAACACCTCCAGCTCTGGCCCACTGACCACCAGACATGAGATGATTCAGCCCATCTCTGAGCCACCCCAGCTGACAAGTGGAGCAGGTGTGAGTTGGCTCATTGACCCTGTCCAAACTGCAAAACAAATACTGTTTTAAGCCATCAACTTTTGGGGCCATTTGTTACACAGCAATGGGTACCTGGAATGTATGACCAAGGTCACAGAGCTTGGGAGCAGCAGGACTGGTGTTGATTTGAACTTAGGGCCATCCAATTACAGAGCTGTTGGGTTACAAACTATCTAGTTCAGGTACCAAGGATGTACTGTGTAAAACTCTGATCTAGAAGGAAGGAAGCACTAAATGATTATAAGAATTTATGTGACAGAGTATAAGCAACAAAGGAGGCAATTATCCAAGTGGAAAAACAGTTTCATTTCTTGCGCTTGCCAGGCAACAAGCCACTGCTGAAGGGTTCTTTGGGAAACCTGTTTAAATAGATAATCAAGGAGTCCCCCCTGGAGGAGGCAGCCTTTAAACTGAGTTATTCAAAGGTGTGGAGAAAGAAGAGACTCAGGCAGAGGGAAGAAGAAGCTTGATAAATGTTCCAGGAAGCGAGACAGTTG